ATACCAGAACCATATATATTTAAGGATTATTTAGGAAATAATCTTGAAATAAGAAAATATGTTAAGTTCCCTCTTATACTTATAGGAGAGGATCAGAAAGAATATACTAAAGAAATAATTTTATATAAAGATGAATAATATGGAGTAGATCGTTCACCTATTCTATTAGGAATGAACTTTTTTGAGAAATATAGTCCTTATAAAATCTGCCAATGATATTTAAAGATAACAGTTGATGATAACCCAATCACCATATCAAGAATAGATGAAAATATGAAATCATTGTTATCATGAAAAGAGTAATTAGTACTAATCTCATGAATCCATATATTGAAATTACACTTAATATAAAAAGATATTGTAGAATTAAATTTCATGCTTACTTAGATACAAGAAGTACAATAAGTTTATGCTTACCAAATGTACTACTATCTGAATACTGGATATACAATTTAAAAAAGATAGTCACCGCTACAACAGCAGGTGGAAGTAAGGTAATATACAGTAAATATGCTAAGCAAGTACCTTTTCTAATTTCCTTTAGAGAAGTATTTGTTGATACAATATATATGTCAACCACAATTGGATGTGATATTTTATTAGGACAAAATTTCCTATTAAAATATGCACTATTTACACAATATATTGATAAGTATATGTTCACAACACCTTGTGCATATAAAATATTTACACCTAAAATAAATAAAGCTGTTACAATAGCATATACAGATATAAATCATCGGAGTTCCTCAACCCAGCGTGGTGGATGTTGGAGTATGGAAAAATTTAAATCAGTTACAATCTTAAAAATGACAACAGAAAATAGAATTGAAAAATTGAAAAAAGAAATTTCTGAAACATATTATGAAAATCCATTAGAAAAATGGAATACAGACAAAGTAAAGGCAAAAATAGAATTAAGCAATCTAGACACTATTGTTAGAGTCAAACCCATGAAATATAGTGTTGATGATCAAAAGAAATTTAAAGACCAGATAAGAGAATTGTTAGAAGCCAAGTTAATTAGGCCAAGTAAAAGTCCACATAGCAGCCCAACCTTTATGGTTAGAAAACATAGTGAGATAAAAAGAGGAAAAGTCAGAATGGTGATAAATTATAAAAAATTAAATGAAGTTACTAAATTTGATGGATACTACTTGCTAAATAAGGACACCCTTATTAAACAAGTACATAACAAAAAGATATTTTCAAAATTTGATTGTAAGTCAGGGTTTTGACAAATCATGTTTACAGAAGAAAGTAAACCACTAACTGTATTTAGTACCCCCAATCCTTTAGGACAATAAGAATGGAATGTAATGCCATTTGGGTTGAAAAATGCACCACAAATATTCCAAAGGAGAATGGATGAGGTAATCAAACCAATTACTCATTTCTGTATTGCATATGTAGATGATTTACTTATTTATTCAAATAACATTGATGAACATATTGAACATCTTGAGAAATTTTGTTATATTATGAAAAAACATGGTATTACACTTTCTCAAAAGAAAGCAGAAATAGCTAAAACAGAGATAGAATTTTTAGGATTATTTATAAAAGAAGGAGAATTGCAATTGCAATCTCATATTGGAGAAAAGTTTCAAGAATTTTCTGAAAAAATCAAAGATAAAAAACAATTACAAAGCTTTCTTGGTATATTAAATTATGTTGAAGGATTAATTGAAAATTGTGCTAAATTGAAAAATTATTTTCTTCCAAAATTAAGGAAAAATATTATGTGATCTTAGGAAAAATAAGATTGCGAAAACATAAGGAAAGTAAAAGAAGAGTTAAAGGTATTGCCCAAACTTGTAATACCGCAAGAAGAAGATTTCTTTGTCCTTGAAACTGATGCTTCAGATTATTATTGGGGAGCAGTGTTAAAGGTGAAAAAGAGTCATAAAGAATATAAATGTGAAAAAGATTATTCTTGTCCTGAAATACTTGCAGGTTATACATCAGGAATATTCAAAGAAGTTGAAACAAGATATGAGACAAACAAAAAAGAACTCATTGCTGTAAAAAGAGGAGTTCAAAAATATGAAGATTATTTGTTACCAAAGAAGTTCTTGATTAGAACTGATAATACTCAAGTTAAAGCCTTTTTAAAAAATAATGTTGATCCATCTATTACGAATAAATATATTATTAGGATACAAATTTGGTTCTCATATTTCAAATTTGATATTGAATACATAAAAAGTAAAACTAACTTTCTTCCTGATTATCTTAGCAGGGATGGAGCTAGAACAACTAAGGACGAAAATTCAGATACTTGAGATAAAAGTTTCCTATTTGGAAACACAAATTCAAAATATCTAAGATAGCCTACGAGGCAAAAATATAGCCTTTGAGGCAAAAGTTACTTGTACCAAGTCTAGTATCCCTTCGCAGGGACTTGTAAATACTATCGCTCTTTCCGAGGATAAAGGGAAAGAAAAGAAGGTAATAGGAACCCCCTCACAGGGAAAATTTGAACCTATTACTGGTAATAAAGATATTCAAGATATCAAAAGAGAAAGTAGCTCTTCACAGAGCCAAATTCAATCTAAACTTTCTATTAAAAGGATAGATCCAAAAGATATTGTCAAAATATGCCATGAAGCAAAAATTTCCAGAAAAGATAACAATGAAGAAGTAACACTCTTTATTGTTATTTTCAATATTTTATCAGATTGATATCTGAAGATTGAAAAGTGGATGAAGACTCTCCACTATTCAAAATACAACAAGATAAATTTTTATCCACGAGCACCAGCCAATTGAGTTCGAAATTGTTTTGAGATAGGAAATATACTTTGTATATATCCTAGCAAAGATTTCAAAGAAATAGCTCAACTTCCAGCCAACATCAGGAAAGCTGTTAAAAAATATACTGAAGTTGTTAAAACGACAAATATATATATATATATCAGATTCCATTCAGCAACCATGGAATGGGATCCCGTTCTTGAATATATGCATCCATCGTTCCATGTAATAAAAATGGGACTTACAAATCAGCATTTTTTACCAACCAATCAAAAGGTTGTTAAAAATGGTTATCAAGATATTTTAAATATGATACCCTACAGAAGAGCAAAAGGGTATAAAGAGATATTTAAACATATAACTCAGATAATTACTGAGAAGGAGAAGATGTTGGTTTATCCATCTGAAGATCGTATTATCTATTCCAATGCAAGGATGGCTACCAAAGAAGAAGATATTTGCTATCTCGACCATTTATTATCTGCAATTATTTCCAACCAAGTGCATGGATCAGAAGATATGGCTAAAGAATTATGCAAATTACTTTGGAACTACAGTGATCACCATTGTGAATACTGCGTGGTTGAAGATATGAGTCAAGCATCTCTTAATGATGAAAAATTCCCTGCAGAATTCTTTGATTCAAAAATGGAAAAGTGATGGTGACAAAAGTAGCCCTTTATCACTACTTTAATAAAGAAATTTATTAAAGAAAAACTGTGGCTACTAAAAGACAGAAGATAGTGCAAGAAAAGTCTCCATAATTGTGACTACTCCCCACCAATTGTTACAAGTGGCAGACAAACTCAAAAGATAAGGCATCTAATTTCAAAAAGGAGAAGTCCACTAGCAAGAAGATAATGGAAAAATTCGGTGTAGATAAGATGGCCAAGCTACCCAACAAAGAAAGGTGGAAAACACCTGTCAAGATAAGGTTCCCAAAGGCTTCTATAAAAGGAGGCAAGGAGGAAGAAGGAAGATATCTCGAAATAACTTATCTCTAAAACACTCAGAGGAAACACATCTTAGATAGATCTTTTGTAATCTGTATACACCACTTGTATTCAGAAAAATATTAGATAGCTTGAAGATAGAAAAGCGTGTAATAAGGTAATCACTTATGGAGTTCTAAACTTCATAAGGTGAGTACCAAATGTATGTAAATATAGTTTGTAAGCATGTACAATTTCAGTTTATGAATATCAAAGTAAAGTTTGTTATGTTCAACAAAGCTTTCATAAAAAGGATTTCGTTAAATTTCTTATAATTCTTCGGCAGTACAGATAGAGATTTTAAATTTTTTTCAAAACATTGATTTTGAATGGATGTTAGCCATGCCAAAGTACCGGTCTTTGTAGAATGGTTTAGGGGAAAAAGGCAGTCTTCTAACAAAATTGTAGCACCTTGTGTGTGAGTTATCTTTTAAAATTTCGTTCCAAGTAGGAACTTGATTCTGAAAAGAATTTGGATAGAGGTGAAAACAGAGACTCTTGATACTGTGAGATAGCGTCTGTGACAACACGGCTAGTTCTCTAGAATGAGAAATGCAACCTTAATTGAAAAACCTTTTGCGGAAGCAGTTTTGGACCCAAATGATTTCAAAAACATTTTAAATCTTTACTTGATTCAGAAGATTGATTAAGTACATGCAAAGTATCTATAAGAACATACTGGAGGGAAAGCCTGTTTATTTCCATTTGATTACTGTAAGTTATTCTGATGAACAATTCACAAGCATCCACATTCACTAATGATAATAATCTCATATTATTTTTAGATGAAAAAGATGTTTTGTTTTTATTTAAATTAGATGAAAAGTCTGAAGATATATTTCCTCTTGGCAAAGAAAAAATTGAAGAAATATATAGAGATAAATATTATAATTATAGAAATTACATAAGATTTGATTCTGTAGGAACTAGTAGAGAGATAAGAAAGGTAGAAGATATTATAACCAAACATAGAAATATATAAGAAGAAATTTTAGAAGAATTAGGTCGAGGATATATAACTAAGAAAGGTCAACCTATAATCTTTGAAGAACTATCAAGATACAAAGAATATTTAAAGGTATTTGAAAGGTTGAAAAATATAAATATAGGTCCTGATTGATAAATCTTTAAAGATATAAGGAACAACTTGCAAATAACTATAATAAGGACAAAATAGTATTTTTAATAAAAGATGCCATTATGGAAAATAAGAATAATTTTCCAGCCATTTCAAAGACTACCCCTTTACCAGGTCTCAAGGATTGTCACAGATTTAATTAGCCTTGGACCCCAATATATATCTGAAATTCAGTTCGTTAAATCATAAAGATAAATCATCTTCCATATTTCATGCGTTTGATATTAACCAAGCTATTTGATTTATTCTCAAGATACATGCAGAAAAGCATGTTTCAGCAAGTTACTATGATCAATATTCTCTTGTTGGTTCCACTGGCAGCCCTTTTTTACTCCAACTCTGCCGCTGCCTCCACCGCCACCACAAAGCCGGGCTGCCAATCGAAGTGCGGAGACTTAAGTGTTCCCTACCCTTTTGGAATTGGACTAGGAACAAACTGTTCAATGGGCTTATGGTTTGATATAAACTGCAACACCACTTTCAACCCCCCGAAGGCTTTCATTGGAACCGGAAACCTCGAAATTATCAGCATATCTGACGAAAAAATACGTATCAAGAATTGGGTGGCGGCCAGGTGCTATAGCCAAACTGGTAACATAACCCGCAAAAACCCCGCATGGATCAACTTCACCGGAACTCCTTACACCTTTGCTGATTTGAACAAGTTCACGGTAGTGGGCTGCGATGATCTGGCAATTATTGTTGGCACAAGTGGCCGGAATTTCACCAGTGGCTGTCTGTCTGTTTGTTTGGAACGTGAAGATTTGATTGACGGGTCTTGTACAGGTATTGGGTTCTTTTTTTTTTTTTTTTTTTTTTTTTTTTGGTCTAAACCACTATAGTTAGCTTATTTTATTAAAAAAATGAATAAACATATTACAGATTTTAAAGGGGAAATAACCTTAAATCCAATTAAAGATACAAACTTTGTTCAGGTATTGGTTGTTGCCAGACTCCTATACCAAAAGGCCTAAAGGCTTTTTCTTCTACACTTTTAAGCATCCGTAATCATACAGGAGTCTGGTCCTTTAATCGCTGTGGTTATGCTTTTCTTGGAGATCAGGATATCTTTAAATTTCGGACGTCCGATTTTTCTGATGAAAAGTTTCAGAGTAGAACAACTGAAAACGTTCCAATAGTGATTGATTGGGCTATTGGGAATCAGAGTTGCAGTGAGGCTACGAAGTCCGCTGATTATGCTTGTCTTGAGAACAGTGTTTGTGTTGATTATGACACGACTCGTGGTGGATACCGCTGTAATTGCTCGACAGGATACAAGGGCAATCCGTATCTAAGTCCAGGCTGCACAGGTTAGGATTTTGTTGATTAGTTATGAAAATTATCTGACTAAATTTTATCAAAGTCGAGGATTTTCGCCATGCTTAAAAGCATGTATGGACTGTGGAGAAAAGCAGTTGAGAAAACCGGTTTCAAATACGGCCAAACATGCTGGTTATCGTTGAACTAGTGAAAAATTATATCGTTGTTACATTCGATCAATACAAAAAAATGATCTTACTTTTATACTATAGAGATAATTTGTCAAAAAACAACGTTCTTTTATAATAAATTTTTAAACTTATTGGTAATCTTTTTCCTTTTTTGGTCCAATAATAATTGGTGGGAATTTTCTGTTTTCTTGTTGAATTTTGGACAAATGAGATATAATCTTGCTACACAAACACAGTGTTAATGATAGAATTTAAAAATAGGAAACACGTAGTTTAAGAAAAAAGAAAAGAGAAGAAAAAAGCCACACACATCACAGCACTGTCAAAAACCCAGTCAAAAGTCCCTGTTCAAGCAGTACTACTATTCAATGGGAAAAGTAGATGTGAGGTCCTTGTCATTGACAAGTATTCATTTCTTGCCATAGGTAACCTTGATTTTATATAATTTTTTCGTCGTCAATCCTGTATTCCATGTTGGAGTGTACACTATTTTCAATCTTAGATTTTTAATAAGCCACTCAGCTAGGTGCCACGTTAACCTTAGTTTAGTATATAGAAATTATATATTAAATATTGATGAGATGGCCCATCAATTAATTTATTGACAATTTCATGGTAAATCAAGGTATTAAGAGCTTGTTTGGGTTTGATTTTTTCAGTCAAAAAATTAATTTTTTGACTGTTATTTCACTATTTCAACCGTCATATTTAACTTTTTCTCTCACAAGTGAACCCCACTTTTCTTTTAACAGTCAAAAAATCAATTTTCAAAATCACTCCCAAACAGGCTTTAAATGATTTACCTACCAAACCATATACTTGACTTTTTCCCCGTGCTTAATACTAAAACGTCACCCCTCTCTCTCTCTCTCTCTCTCGATGCTATTATACAGATCCTTTACTAATCAAAAAATACCAAATAGAACTGAAAATGTTTATAAATTATTTTGTTGTTTAGACTGGATAGATTTATATAAGATAAGAAAAATCTAAAGTTACACTTTCCGGATAAATTATTTCAAGTGATTTATTAAACCTCGGTATATTAAAAAAAATAAAATTTGAAGATGGAAGTGTAAAACATATTAAACACAACTTAAATTCATAGCAGATTTGACTTAGTTTTTGGTTAATAATATACTTTGTTTGACAGATATTGATGAATGTGAGAACAATCCATGCGATGAAAACGGGATTTGTAATAATAGTCCAGGTAGCTTCAGCTGTTCCTGCAAACATGGATACTACGGCGATGGCAAAAAAGATGGCCGTGGTTGCATTGCTGAGAATTCCCAGTTCCCAGTAATCAAGTTCTCACTAGGTCATTCCTTTTCTAACTATCAATCATATGTACCCCTTCCATGTTCTATTGTGAAATGTCGAATTTGGAAGTCAATTTTACATGGTTTTAATTTTTTGTTTGCATTGGAAGAGTGCTAGTTTTCTTCTGTTTGTTGTCATAATAAATAAGAGTAACAAGACTAAAGTGCTATATATTATGCTTCTGTTTGGCAAATATATAAACGATTTCTAAAGAGGAATAATAGCGAGTCTCACAAAATGTATGAATAATAATGAGTATAGTAGCTATAAATGTGTGGCCGTTTATAAATTTGTATTTTAAACGGAGGCTATGTCTCTCGTGTTCAAAAATAGGATAAGAAACTCTTAAATCTGAGATGAAATTTTGTCTGTTATATCCAATATTTTATGTAATGTTTTCAGGTTTCAGCTCGGTCTTCGTGTCAGTAATAATTGCCATGACATGGCTATATTTTAGCATCCAAAGAAGGAAGCTAGTCAGAATGAGAGAAAAATTCTTCCACCAAAATGGTGGGTTGCTTTTGAAGCAGCAAATTTCATCAAATGGAGTAGAATCTACCAAAATATTTTCTGCCGAAGAACTTGAAAAGGCCACCAACAAGTATGCTGAAGATCGGATTCTTGGCAGAGGTGGCTACGGTATAGTCTATAAAGGAATTCTATCTGATGAACGTGTAGTTGCAATTAAGAAGTCGAGAGTAATGGATCAAGGCCAAATCGAGCAATTCATTAATGAGGTAACGTTCAACTATATATCTCTTTAAAAGATTTAACGGTCACATAGAAACAAATTAATTTATTTAAATTTCTAACCCCAAGTTGCATAAAAAAAAAATAATTTATTTAAATTTCTTCTTCAAGTTAACACATACCATGCTCCTCACTAGTAGTTCATATTCATTTCTCATCCAAGGTCACGTGCACAATTTTCATACGCTGCAAGACTTGGAACATATAATCTTTGTCATTTTGAGACAACATTGAATTACCTTGTTTGAAATTTATGCTATGGAAGGTGAACAAATATATTTATTTAAATTTTTGTTTTCCACAGGTTGTTATCCTTACTCAGGTTAACCATCGAAATGTGGTGAAATTGTTGGGATGTTGTTTGGAGGCTGAAGTTCCTCTTCTCGTATATGAATATGTTTCAAATGGTACACTTTTTCACCATATACATAATAGTGGGGAGATGCCTTGGTTTTCTTGGGAAAATCGGTTAAAAATTGCTGCTGAAGCAGCTGGTGCATTAGCGTATCTTCATTCTGCGGCTTCTATGCCTATTATTCATCGTGATGTCAAATCAAGCAACATATTATTAGACAACGTGTATACTGCTAAAATATCTGATTTTGGAGCTTCGAGATTGGTTCCCTTAGACCAAACACAAGTAACAACACTAGTTCAAGGTACTCTAGGCTATTTAGATCCTGAGTACTTCCACACGAGCCAATTAACCGAGAAAAGTGATGTCTATAGCTTCGGGGTGGTTCTTGCCGAACTTATGACAGGAAAGAAACCTCTTTCACCTACGAAATCTGAAGAAGAGAGAAACTTGGCTACATACTTCATTATGTCCATTAAAGAAAACAGATTTTTTCGAATTCTTGAGTCTCGAATTTTGAGGGAAGGTAGCTTGGAACAACTGCAAACTGCTGGTGAGTTAATAAAAAGATGCCTCAACTTGAAGAGTGACGAAAGACCAACAATGAAAGAAGTGGCCATGGAGTTGGAAGGATTAAGGAAATACACAAAACATCCTTGGAATCAACAAGGAAATGCTGAAGAAAACATGGCGTTGTTGAGTGAACAATCAGACCTATATGATATCACAATAACAGGTCAAGAATTTACAACTTCTGGACAAGGTAGTTTGTATATTGATATGATATACCCTAGCAACAATCCTCGTTAACGATTTTTTAAGACATTAATTATTTTGGCACTTGTTTAATACTTTTGTCATATGAATGAGCATCTATATATGTGTCAAGTATCCCACCTTCTCTTGTCAATCCAAGTGTTAAAATATGTAGAAGATGGAAAAGTTTAAGCTTTTAAATAAAACCAAATGAATATCGTTTAAATATTAATTTCAACACGTCCCTTACATGTAGGCGGGATCTATTTCTTCTCATCAAAGCTTTACACATGGACAAATTTTTTAATGAATGTTTTGCACATGTTTGAAGCCAAGCCAGCTCTTTATTATGTTAGACGACTTGATCTAAAAACTTAAACATTAAGATGTAACTAAGGGTGCATTTTTAATTGCGAACATGAAAACATGAAGAGAAAATAAATTCTAGGCAATTCAATTGTCTAGATCTTATTTGTATGAAAATTATTAATCAAATGTGTTTGATCGATTTAGTTTTCAACCTAGAAAATATTATACTTGCTCATTTTTATTGATGAGTAGATGAGAAAGAAAAAGAGAGAGTTAATTACCTGAAAAATAAAACCACCACTTCCTAAAAAAATATTTCCATTATTTTTTAGGAAAATATGGTCACATATGAGAAAAAATGTCAATCAAATATAAAAAGTAGAAATTTGGGTAGAAAAATGTCTCTTTCCATAAAAAATTAAATCAACCAAATACACTCTAAATGTATACCATTTAAATACTGTCTCCAATAACAAAGTATAGTTGTACAATATATATATATATATACATATATATATAGGTGCAAAATGAATTGACGGCCGTTTGACATAGCTACTTGTAAAAGAGTTTCTTGAGGATTTTGCTGTCTGACAAGTACAGTTTCAAAATATTTAATGCGTTCGACGATTGAAGCATACAATAGTGAGCCACGATCATATCACTTGACCTAGCGCTAACTTTAAATTTTATTCAACTACGTGATAAGAAATTCCATTCTATTATGACTTAAAAAAAAAAAAAAATTAAACAAGAAATCATATGACCGATTTTTCATCTAGGGGTCTTAGCCCAGTTCCATTGCATCAATATAAAATGTGTTCAAGTTAAATTACAAAGAGGAATGCAGCCATTTTATGAAATTGAATAAATTGAGCGTTCATTAGTCAAATCATTTAATGGTTAAAATTTATAACATTTTTTTTAATTCACTGGGTCAAGTAATCTATTATTGGATCTACTTTTCTGTATCATAGGTGATTGTTCATGGTCTATGACATCATAATCTTATTCATAGAGATCCATGTTCAAGGGCGGAGCTAAAAAAAAAAAAGAAAAAAAGAAAAAAAAAGGACGTTGGTGTTGGATGAAATTTATTCCAATGAACTTACACAATAAGATATGCTCTATGTCACATGAAATTTAGTTTATAAGGCTAAGCTCATGATATCGATGACAGAGTGGGTCAAAGAATTAAAGGCAAGTACAAATTCAAATACCAACCTTAAGATTGTTAGCAACATAAACTATCTCGAACCAATATTGTGAATCAATTTGAAGAGAAGAAGAAGGAGAGAAACAATAATCTATTAAGCAACCAAAAATTAGGGTTTACATTTAACTAAAATAGTTTATATATTACAAGGAAATCTAAACTAATAAGGAAACCTAAAAAATAAGGAAACTAAATATTAAATAAATAAATATATTATCACCTCTCCTCAAACTCACGGTGCTAAAGCAAAAAGTAGCAAGAGTTTGTTACATAAGAAGCAAAAATAATGAATCGTATGAAACTTAGTGAAGAAGTCAGCAGGCTGTAACAATGAAAAAACAAAAGGTAAGGAAATGGTGTTAGTCTGCAGATGATGATGAACTAGATGACAATTAATCTCAATATACTTTGTACGTTCATGGAATACAGAGTTGTGGAAGATCTAAATAGCACTAGTATTATCACAATACATAGTGGTTGGGGAAGAATGAGGAACACCCACGTTTGCAAGTAACCACTTCAACCACACAAACTTAGTGGTAGTGGATGCCATAGCTCGATATTATGCCTCCGTAGAGGACCGGGAAACAAAAGTCTGCTTCTTACTTTTCCAAGAGATAAGAGAATCACCTAAAAATATACAAAAATTTGTAGTGGACTTGCGATCAATAGGGTTACTGGCCCAATCAACATTAGAGTAGACATGGAGTACGAAGGATGAGGTCGATGGAAACAAAAGACTTTGAAAGCATGTATTACTAAGATAACGCAAAATACGAACAATTGCTGCCCAATGAACTATAATAGGAGCTGAAACAAATTGATTAATAATGTGAACAACATAAGAAATATCTGGAATCTGATGCTAAGATAAACTAGACATCCAACAATATGCGATACAAAGTGATATCAAGTAATGGTGCACCATCAAAGGATGAATATTGAGCGTTGGACTCAAGAAGAGTATCAACAATTTTAGTATCAGTAAGACGGGCACGCTCAATAACATTCGTAGTATACTTGGATTGAGAGAGAAGATTACCTTTAGGAGAAGAAGTAACTTCGATCTCTAAAAAATAAGATAATGTACCCGAGTTCTTCATTTCAAAACGACGAGCCAATTCTGATTTCAAACTTGCAATTCCATTGATATCACACCAGTAATAATTATATCGTCCACATATAGTAATAATAGAATACGACCATCAGAAGTGCATCTAAAGAATAGAGCGGAGTCATGATGACTGGATGTAAAATCAAGAGAGGTAACAACAATGAAAAATTTCTCAATCCATGCACGAGGTACTTGTCTGAGGCCATAAAGTGCCTTTTTGAGCTTGCAAACAAATTCAGGAGAGTGAGAAAGACTAGGAGGAGGAAACATGTAAACCTTCTCTAGAAGATTTCCATTTAAAAGGCATTTTTGACATCTAATTAAGAGAGACTCCAGTGACGAACAGAAGCAACTGCAATAAGTGTACGAACAGTGGTCGTCTTGACAAAAGAAGCAAAAGTCTCCTCATAATCCAAACAATACTGTTGATTAAACCTTTAGCAACTAATCTAACTTTGTAACGCTCAATTGAATCGTCAGATTTGGTTCTAATATTATAAACCAGTGATAACCGATAGTATGCTTACTTGAAGGCAATGCAACCAAGTGTGAAGTATTTATCTTATGTAGAATAGAGATTTCATCAGCCATAGCCCGTTGCCAAAGAGGATTCTAAATAGCTTTTTTGTAGGAAAATGGTTCAAATAACTTGTGAATGGAGCTTAGAAAGTAGCAAAAAAACTCAGAAAAATAAGAATAAGTAAAATCAGGTAACTAAGTGGACTTACGAATACGTTAAGGCTATCAAGGAAAAGATGGAGCAGGACTTGAATCAACAACCTCAAGTGGTGCTTGAGAAGCCATAGAAGGAGGAGCAGTATCATGAGTTGGAGCATATGTACCATAGGATATGAAGAATCAACAGTACATGGAGTATGTGAAGGTGGATTGTTTATATCATCAGAGAATGGATCAATATAAATGATGTCAGTTTTAGTAACGTCATGAGTATTATAAAAAATAGAGAAGAATGAAATATGCTCAAGAAACATATAATTTGTTATTAATGGGATCGAACCATCTAAAACCCTTTTGCCCATAACCTAAGAAAACACAGATAGCAGAGTGAGATGTCAACTTATTACGTTCGAATTCAGGATGAAGAACAAAGCAAGTATAACCAAAGACTCTCAATGAGAAATAATCCAAAGAATGCCCATACAATATTTCAAAAGGTGATAAACCTGAATTGTAGGAAGATGAAATCTTATTAATTAAAGAAACAGCAGTAAGAGCTGCTTCTCTCCAAAATTCATTGGGAATTTGGCTGACAAAAGAAGTGAATTGGCAGTTTCTACAATATGCCTATACTTTCGTTCAGTAATACCATTTCATTATGGGGTATTAGTACACGATGTTTGATGAATTGTGTCGTCAAGAGCAAGCAATTTAGAAAAATCGATTGAATTTTACTCTCTATCCAAATCGCATCTAAAACACTTAATTACAGTGGAATGTTGAGTTTTAATAAGTGCTCTAAATGATCGATAAATAGAAAGAAAGTCAGATCGTCATTTCTTAAGATAAATCCAACAATAACGACTATAATCATCAATAAATGACACATAATATCCAGACCCTCCTTTTGCAGCAATAGGAGCAGGTCCCCACACATCAGAGTGAACAATATCAAATGTTCAACAAAATGAGAAATACTTTGAGGAAAAGGTAAAGCAGAAAATTTTGCTAATTTGCAATCACTGCAATAAGAAATGTTATGAGTTTATATATTTCCTAATTAACTCTTAGAAACTAAAAATTTCAAACGACTAGCGGAATCGTGTCCTAGATGAGAATGCCACAAATAAAAACTAGAAGATGATAAATTCAAAGAGAAAGATGACAAATCAACACCAGGGGCTACAACGTGCGGTGGTCTTAAATTGTCCAGAACATATAACCCTCATTGTCTACGACCTATTCCAATCAGTTTCTGAAATTGAGGATCCTGCACATGATAACCAGTAGAAGAAAACTGAACTAATACCCAAAATCGCACAATTCGCTAATAGAGGTAAGATTCAAAATAAGAATTGGAACACAATAGACATCTAAAAGTAATAAATCAAGCGTACTAACAGAACCAATACCTGCTAAAGGCAATGGTGTGCATCAGCAGTCATAACAGACAAGACGGGTTAGAAGGAAGCAAGATATTTAATTTTTTTTGAGTTTGGCGACGTGTTTGAAAGCACCTGAGTCAAAGATCCATGAGGAAGAAATATCTGAATGACTCTGAGATGAAAAACCTATATGAGTGGAGGTTGACATAGCATATGGATGTGTGGCCAAGAACTTCTAAGACTGCTCTGCTAAGTTTGTCAATATGGGATTGGACGAAGGTGGTGCTCTAAGTATAGATGAGTCACTAGGTGGCATGGTAGTAGTTATGTTAGCATTGGGACGATAAGATCACTGCAATGATTGAGGTTGCTACTTCAATAGCTTAGGACATTGAGACTTCCAATATCCTTTTTGTTTACAAAAGTTACACTCTTCACTAG